ATTGAGAGAGTTTAAAATAAAAGTTTAATCACTGTGGAAAAACATTTCGTTACCGTAACGATATTCGTTTTAGCGTATGACTTAAACTAAAGTTTCGATATCGTAAAAAAAACCTTTAGTTACTATAAAGAAGAAAAGCTTTCGCGTAGAGGACATATTAACAATGATAGTGGAGGCAAAAAATTCCATAACCACTTGAAACATTTAATACAAATATTTAATTAATTTAAAGCACGGCTAATTGAAAATAATTCAATTTCACATTATTAAAGAAGGCATTGATTCTTGCAGATTTATGTTACCATAACGATACTATTTAATGAGGATAATTTTGAACTCTAAATTCTTAGATAAAAACACGTATATGTATGTGTAGTTTACACACATGCATGCAGTTTGTATGTGTAGTAATGTGCGCGGTCAAATATCGAACTATAGCTTCTACAGCATTTGAAGTATAGAGCAGTTGGTTTTCATGTTTATCAGACATTGCACAATGACTTCATAAATGAGTGGATGGAACCTCTTATACCAAATTCGAGAAACGTTTTTCCGAGTCTTCAGTAGTATAGCGGTAGTATCCCTGCCTGTCATGCGGGAGACCGAGGTTCGATTCCTTGTTTCTGAGGGCAGCTGCCATGAAGCCCAAACAGCCCTCTGTTTTCTCCAAGTCCAACAGTAATAGACAGATCAATCATGCACTCTTATCATGTGCTACAATATAGTAATAAACAATGTTGCTAAGTTTATGCTAAATATTTACAGCGCCTTGCACACAGTGATCGTTCAGTTATAAGTCTCCAGCCCCCAGCTGCCCTGTAATTGTGCAGATTTTGTGATAGTTTTATTACAATTTGTATTACTCTATATAAAATTACAATTTAGTTAAATAAAAAACTTGTTCACTTCAAAAAAAAAAGGTTCGATTCCTCGCCGAAGAGATTTTTTCTTAACGTTATGGTTTTTTTTTTGTTTAAATGTACTCATTTCCACACCACTTTTGAGGTAGAGTACAAAGCGCGTTTTTTATATAGTATTCCCAGTAGGCCTAATCAATAAGTTGTCATTGAATGCCTTATTGAATGAATAGCTGTAAGTCAAAAATAATTAAATGAAACTTGGAATAAAATTAAATCATTATTGATTGATAATGGTTACATAGCTCATAGCTATGTTAGATTAAAGTATATTCTTTCTCGATATGAGCCATTAAATATCATTCATTACGAGAAAAGAATATCTAACTACCCCGGAAGAGAATAGAGAAACTATTTACTGACAAGTTAAAAATCAGATCGGTTGGATTGGTATTTTGATTAAATATTACACGGAGAAAAGTAAATTGTAAATTTTACTTCAATAAATAATGGTCTGTCGCTTCGAGTACAAAAATGGCAATGAGAAATTGTTTGATTAGTATACATTACAACTGTTTCTTCTAAAACTTTAATTACACATTAAAATTGTGATATTTTATATCTATTTTTGTATAATTTAAAATTTGGATTCATAATAAAATTTTTACAAGAAAAAGTTTTAATGTATATTATAATCAAACAATTGCTTATTGCCATTTTTGTACCCGAAGCGACAGACCACTACTTATTGAAGTAAAATTTACAATTCATTTTTCTCCGTGTACTTAAATTCAATAGAGAACTAGAAGACCAAATATCTGTACATAAATAAGCACATATTGGAATTATTATATTCTCAATGTTTATTATTGCTCACTTAAAAGTTATTTTAGCATTTAAATAGTTTGTACGAAAATAAGCCGATTTGTAAGAAAAGTATCTGTCTTGAAGAAATCTACGTTCTTTCCTAAAAAATCAAATTCGATTATTAATTACAGAAAATTGAGAAATCAGAATAATTAGCATGTTCTTGAAGACTTACCATTAATCATTGAAGAACTCAGATTGGTTTTAAAGTCAGCTGAAATAATTATTTACCCTAAAAAAATATAAGTGCTCTTCAGTGGTCTGGGTGCGACTCGAAAGGTCCACACGACTAACTTCCCAGTGGAAAGAATGATAACATTGAGCTAGTTTACCATTTTTTCAGTTCTTTTATTCTGCATAGAAAATGGCTGGACCGATTTTTTCGAAAACCTTATCAAAATGATCGCTTTAATATTATTGGGCAAGAGATGACTGTTTGAATACTCTGGGAAGAATAAAAAATACGAATTTTTTTATGTTTACTACAGTATCGTTCAATGCAGTTTAAGTCCCACTGCAAAACAAATTTACGCCCCACGGAAAACTACAGTCTTAGCCTCCGAAGAATTTGTATTCTTCCGACAAAAATACGTTTTCTTACGAGAGAAATACGTGTCAGAATAAAACTTTGTTTTCCCGTAGTGATTAAACTTTTTTTTCAGTGTATTCACTATTAATAGTTCAAGAAGGACTCAGCTATTTTCTGTCAAATGAGCAATGAACACAGGATTGTGAATCCAACGGTGGGATTTAACTATCAATTTTTTAGAGTGCAGAAGACAGCTCTGTTTTATTTGCTTTATTTAAATGTAATATCCGTTTGAATAAATTAGAACATTTTTTTTGTTGCAACTCAACTGCACTATATCAGTTGTTTCCTCAACTAATATGTTCAACAAAAACATTATAACTTGGACACGTAATTATAGTTGTACTTAGAACGCACATACATTGTAAATTGAAGTGTGGTAAAAATGAACACACATAAACGGATTCAATGTTAACTGCTATAAACAAATTATAGAAGTTTTGTAGTTGATTTACATACACTTTAGGGTGTGTTAAAATCTGTTGGTTCATAGCATTTAACATTAAACACGTTTATGTGTGTTGATTGTAATACGCTTCGATTTGCAGTATAGAGATGATGTGAAGGTAAAACGATCCTCGTACTAAGAATGTGAGACAAATGTCTAATAACAATTAATAAAATTAATTGTTCAATAATCGAATAATATCTCCATATATTAGTTTTCATTTGATGTTTGTGTAAACAGCTGTAAATAAATGAATGATCTTTTAAACTATTTAATTTTGATTTCAATGTAAAACTATAATTAATCGACATTCATTTCTATCATTAAAAAGGAAAAATTGTAGTTGAACGTTTACCGTAAAATATTTTGATTGAATGATCGCAAAAAAATTTCATTATTCATCCTTTTAAATGTTTATTGAATAAAAAAGTAATAATTGTCCATAGTATAAACATTTTTTGAATATATTTCTTGAAACTTTTGATTTATTTCCGTGATTTACGTCGAATCGTAACATAATCAATCAATTTCAGAATTTTCTTCAACCTATCCATTCCTTTCATAGAAAAAAAGCGACCAGGTGTAATTTCCGATAAAAGTCACTTCTTTTTTCCAATGGTAACTGTAAAATTTTATCGGATTTCCAGTTCTGGTAAACTGACAGTAAAATTCAGTATTTAAACTGATTTTATATGAATTAGTTTAAATGAACAGTCATTAAAAAATATTTTTTAAACAATTTTTCTAGAAATAAAATAGTGAATGTCACTGCACAAGAATGTACCTAACTAACTCATTTTTAGGGAGGTCAAAAATGCAAATTGACAAATAATTTACTTTCCTGAAATAACTGTATATTGTTTAAATTATGTCATAAATTCTATTAATTTAATTTACATGTTAATATAATTCAAAGAATATATATTTTATTTCCTTATACGACGCAGATATTTTAATTTATAATTTATATAATTATATTAAAATATTTTGAAAAAATTAATTTAGTGCAAAATGATTGTTATACGTATACTTATATAAATAAATATTTATTTAACATATAACTTCATTTATTGACATACTACGTAATTTTGTATATAATATAACATATACATAATTTTGCCACCACATATAAACACACATATTTTATATATTTTCGTATATTATCAATGATATATTGATTTTTTATGTGAGTTCATTTACTTTCTTGAGAAAAATGGAAGGTAGACATTCTAAAATTCTTTAATTGATTAATCACTCAACGTAGTAGGAGTATTTTTAGTGCAGTATATATTTCACTGGTATAAACAGTGGTAGACTTATTGGGAATAAGTCTACCACTGTTCCCACATAGTAAATGAATATTCACTTTTTTGTCCTCTATTGCGTGATTTTGAATAATTCATTTTTAGAGAGTGCGAAAACAGCGGAAATTTGCGGTTCCAATTAAGAAAGGGAGTTTCGTTAACTTGAGCGATATTACAGGGGTTAGAAAAATAGTAATTCAATGTACTACTTACATTCCATGCTGAACGATTAAAGACAAGTTTGGAGTAACAGTGATCTAAATTAGTCTCAGTTGAGCTTCAGGTACTTATTTAATTACCAAATTTCCAGTATCATTTTATTCTTAAATAAAGAAATTAAAATTCCACTTAAACTCTTTGGTGATTAAACGAAACTTTGTTGCGCAAGCAATAAAATTCATCATTATAAAAAATAAAATTGCCTTTAATTCATAAAATTGAAGGAAAGTGAATTTCACACTAATATCGAAATTATTGTGTAGGGATATTTTTTATTATTGAATTTTTCCAGTGTCGTAATAAAGCATGTTGAGGCTTTTAAGAAACAGTTATCAGTAATACTTGTACATACATATATATTTATATGTGTAGAACAAAGGTGGGGAAATTTAAGAGTGTGAAATGGAATGTCTATGCGAGTGTCTGTGTGAATCTAAGAGACTACATTACCCTTGACGACCTGTTGCTACCCCCTCTCTTTTTCGCAGTCTGCCTTTTCTTAGCCGCACATCGTTTGGTGTAGTGAGCGAATGACTAACTCACCCTTTCCATGTGTAGTTTTTTCTCCTTTTTGTCTCTCCAAAAAATGCGATCTTACATTAGAGATAACGCACCTCTTAGTGGATGTACTTCAACGAAAGTATATAATTAATTTACAAATAATTTGACGGTGGAAATTGAAGGATTTGTTTTTGTTTTTTTTTCATGTGCTACAGCCTCGGGAGGGGGTGGTCCAATGTTGGTCCCTCCCGTGGCCCCAGGGGGAACAGGCAGCCGTCAGGTCGGCGATGCCGGAGCTAGAGGATCACAAAATCCCATCCAGGGGACAGCAACGACGTTGTGGCCCCTTGCGCCTGCACAAACTACTAGTCTGTCAGGCAATCAGCAGACACATGCAACACCACCTCTAGCTGCTACCCCTGCACCTTCACACAATCAAGGTTAGATTTCATGTTTTATACTTTTTTTATTCTTCATCTTTGGGAAGGGTGAGTGAAATAGGTTTTACATGACACATGAAATATTTTTAATTTATGCATGGAACGAGTTACTTATTAGGATTAATTTGCAGATAATTAAAAAAAAAACATTAGAGACATTCAAAAATGATAGAGTTACTAGGAAAATTAAAAAAGATCCAAGTCAAAATTATTCTCAATTATTGAATTGTTTATTTATAAATAATATTGACTTATAAAATCAATCAACAACAGATAAATTTATATATTGACAGAAATAAAAAAAATATATATTGGAGCTAACTAATAAATATTAAAATTATTCTTTATATTTAATTTTATTTAATGTAATCACTCTAAATTCCAATGTTGATAGAGAATTAATCATCATCAATGATACTTTTTTTTAACTGAAATCACGAAGTTTCATTGACACAATGATTCAATTATAAATGAAAAACCATAATAATTTTTGAGTTAATAAAAATCACACTGAAATGATTTATAAAATAATGTTATAACTGGGAACAGTTATAACAAATAAATTTTTATGTGCTCGGAATTATATTATCACAATATATTTGGATGAGAGACACGTAGACTCTATGTCATAAAATTAGCTGTTACAATTGATGCCAGTGGAAAGGACAGTTATAATAACAATAGTGATACGTACTCATTTTTTCCATAAAATAAATTATAAAAGATCGTGAAATGCACTGAAAGCAAATATTATCATTGTTTAATAAATTTTTTTGATGTAATACAATGAATATAAATATTTGTTATTACTATTCTTAATTACTGAAATGGAAAAAAATATCTCTAAATGTAACAAAGAGTAAAAGTAAATAAAAAAGAAACAATAATAATTAATAATATATCACTGTTGATTTAAACAAAGTAAATGATTTTAGTTACATTAACATTGTCTTTAATTCTCTGATCATTTCTCACTGACTGTTACATTGTTTCGCTTTATGATTGACCTGTCTCCTATTTTATTCATTATCGGCTGTTTGTTGAATTAAATAGACTCACGGATAATACAATAGAGCTAATGTATGAAAATTTTAACTCGGATATGCATGAGTCGAGATGCTATAAAGTGTAGGAACAAAATGATAATGTGTTGGCAATTTTTATTACATTTGAGCAGAAGCTATGACTTTACTTTTAAAATAATCATCAACAAAATCTCCTTGAGTCATTCATTAAATAAACGTTAAAAATTAACGTAAAATCAAAAATGGAAGATAAAATTTTTTTAATGAGATTTTGAAGACTTTTTGGTATACAATCAGCAACTAAACCAGTAACATTTTTAAGAAATTACTTTCAAAAAAGTTGGGCACATGTAAAGATATGTTGTTTGAGCACATTCCCATCAATCCACCACACACGCGTCGCAATCTCCCTGTGGCGGTCGTTAAAGCATTACGTTTTACGTGACGCGATAGAGTGTTTTTGGCGACTATGAGATAGGGTAGAGACTTAACCATACTAAACCACTTAACTTGTAAGTGCCATAGTTTCTTAAGTATGTGTGATATAATAAAATAAAATGTGTTATGATATAGTTTTTTATTAAGACGACCATCTTTAGATTTTAACTGATATTTTTTTTGTAGAATATCACTATCAGTTCTAGTCTGCAAGAAAAAAAACTTCAATGAAGTGACAAAAACTCGAATCCCTGTTGATGTGCTTTTGAATGATGTCAACATGAAATTTATGAAAAAATCGCTAAATTTATTATTTAATTCTTTTTTGATTTGAAAATAAATTTTTTTTTTATTGTATTAAAGAGCATACTATTTTTATAATAAATCAATGCTTGTTTAGTAATGTTTATTAATATAATATATATTGCTAATTTATTTATTTAAAGTTTATTGAGTATTGATCTATCTATGAAACTTCACTTCAAAACCTAACAAGTGTAGTTATTTACAGTATAAACTGTAGTTAAACTATGCAAATTATCAGATTGTGGTAATTTACTTTGCTTAAATATTTCCGTATTTTCACGAATAAGTTTTCTTTTTACTTTATTTAAACAACGAGCATAGTTCACAAAAGAAAAGTTATTAGTAATTTTAGGGATTAATATAAAGCTTCTTTGAGGAATAGTATTTTTTACTTTCACTATAACATTTTTATGAGGCATAGTAAAATTGACGTAACTCCAAAATGCTCTAGTGTTCACGTAATACGTGATAAAAAAATAAAACTTATTATAAAAAATGTTGTGAAATTTTTTATTATGCTGAATGAATAAACTTTAAAAGATGAATCATTATTTTGCCAATAAAATTTATTATAAATGCTGAATGCCTTTCTATTAAGTAGATTCTGTCAGCAATGAATGTTTAATGTTATATGAATTTTGTATTGATTAGAAATGAAGTAATAATAGTGCTCATCACGAATAGTTAAATATTTATGAGATTTATTATAAATATTCGTGATAAATTATAAAAATAATAAATAAATTTGAAGTGAACAAATTAATGTATATTTATCACGAACGTATCATGATTTTTCATTATGATGAGTTCATGAACACTTGTGTTCAGCACAAAATGTACTATAAATTTATGTTAAAAGTTATGTCGTGCATGCATTTATTTAGAATAAAAGTTCTATGATGCTTATCATGATTTTACAATAATGACGATGCTGATGAACTTTTCATATATTCAAAAAAAAAAAAAGAATTACATGGCTCTAAGTCACTAGTGAGTTTATTTATCAACATGCTAATCCTGAATTCATTTACGTAAGGTGATTGTTCTAATTATTGACTTCGTCTCAACTCCACTCAGCTGAGTTCATCATGTAAATCTGTTTCTAACTTTACTTTTAGTTTTCGCATCTAATAACAATCAATTTATTTTAATGATTTGTTTCTGATTTTTAACAACTATTCATTCATCATATTAATTGTATTAATTATTCTATTTTTAGGGTAAAAATTAAATTTAACAATCATAAAAACTAGAAAGTTAGTGTGAAAAATTTTACAATCTTTTTTTAAACTTATTTAACCCATAATAGTCAGCTACTGAACTAATTGATCAACAATTAGGGTAAGCTCCCTATTAAAGTATTTACTCTAATTGGATTTAACTGTAATTGAGCTGCTAGGTGGGTTTTTTTCTTTTTTTTTTGCAATTTTAAGAATGAAAAAAAAATCAACATTAACTGAGTATTGTATAGTATAGATATTTCTTTATAAGAACAAATTTGGACCATTTGCGGTCCATAATTTCCTGGCGTTTTTAAAACTTTTTTACCACTTAGATGAACTAATGACCTTTAATTATCATAATAATTTAAATTTTGTCATGATCAAAATATCATTTGAGCTTCGTTTAAATAATTAATATATGTTATTTAAAAATTAAATTAATCATTCGACTTTTATAATATGTACCAACTCTGTTATTCCCTTGCTTGGTTCATACATAACTGGAATATTGCAAGTAATTAATAATTAAGTCGAACGGTCAAAAAACAGAAGTAATTAAGACATTTTTAACTTTATATGTATCTACAATTAGTCAAAAAAATTTATGAAATATTCTTGACCACAAGGAATACTGTTAATAATTGATCATGTTTTCAACTGATACCATTAATTAAATCCATTAATCAAAATTAAATTCTTAATTATATGAGTGTACAGTATCATCATTATTCATTTTTATATATAGAATCAATATTTAAAAGCACTTCTCGAATTGTTGGTCATGCTAATTAAAGAAGATTTATTACGCATAAAAATTTACTCTAATTATTCTGAGTTTAATTACATTTTGTTAAAAAAGTTAATACCTTAAGTTCTATTAAATAGACATTTATAAACTGTGATATTTATTTATTGATACTTTTATAATAAATTGATCAGCTATTGGCAAAAAAAAATCCATCTAATGATCAATTTGATCTTGTAATGATACTATAATTCAGTGATAAGGTTTTGGTTGACGAAATTTTACTTACATAAATTTAAATGCAGTAAAAGTGACTCGATTTTTTATTTCCTATTCAGATTATCTTTTCTATTCATTTTATTATTGTCCATGTCTTTCTGTAGATGTTGAAGTCATGAATAATGTAAGTCTGATTAATTCAGTCTTTTTTTAATAATTAACACATTGTCTTAAAAAATTAAATAAGATAATAAATGATTGCAAAAAATCAAATAATATTTTATTATTGAATTATTTTTTAACATAAATGTATTGTTAATTTTTCGAAATAACTTGACATGAAAAAGCATATTTCAACAGTATTAAAAATATTTCAGGAATAAATCGGTACGAGTTGTATTCCTTGTTTCCTGGAAGTGGCGGGGGTAGCTACGTGGCAACAGCTCCAGGCACCCCAGCAGTTACCCCCGCAAGAACTTATCATGCTACAACACACAAAGGTATTATTATAAATACATTCAATATTATTTAATATTAAATAAATCTTATCCAATTAAAAAAAAAGGAAAAACAATTGTCACCATAATATTAATAAGAAAAAATCGCCAAGTATGTACTTGAGTTTCTTTTTCTTATTTCTCTCCTTCTTCATTTCGTCTTCTTTTTATTTCTTAACGCTCAGGGATTGGGCTTACTGACAATCCGCCGGTGTTCACAATACCACAATTATGCAATTAAAATTCTGAATGAGAGCTATGGCCCTAGAGGAAGGGGAAAACTGTAGGGAACTGCTCGTTAAAATAGAGCGTTTCAGACACAGGGGTATTTAATAACCTTATTGTCCAGTAGGTGTAACCTAAAACGTCGTTTCTATACATCTCCATATCTATCAAGTGAATGAATAAAAAGCATATAGTAATGTAATGTAATTACACATAATGTAATTTTTTTTATATATGTGTTTTCAGCTTATTTTTATTGTTATGAAGCTTTTTAATTATGTTTAATTACCTTTATCAGAATTATTCTTAATATTTTATTTAAAAATTGTCGTCAAAATAAAAATATCAACTCATAAAAATTTTCTCAGCAAGCTGGAGTTACATTTGAACAATAAAAAATAACTTTTCTCTCACTCTTTCTAAAGTTAATTTCGATGACAATGGATTGTTTTATTCCACAAATTCTCAAGTTCATTTTAAATACAAGAGTAATTTTTATTTCAAAATTGTTCATGTATATTAGCTTATGCTATTCGATACTTTTGGTAGAAAAATTATTAAATTTCACAAAAGCATAAAGTGAATTCAATGTTTTATTTAATTTAATTAATTAATTTCATTAGATTTAAAATTTTTATTTATAAACATACGTTTACCAGGTTCGATTTGATATTTTATTGAACTTGGAGCTATATTTCCTGGACTCATGATTTGATTTAGTTTATCGTGGCATTGATTGGCTATTTATTTACAGTAAGTGAAAATGGATCAGATTGTATCATGTGAAATGTACATGGTACCAAATTCAATTTCATTTTCAATGTTTTTATAAATCAATTGTCTTTGGTAACACAAAAAATTTTTTATGTATAAAGCAGTAAAAACATTTTCCTTAGCATTTATTTATCAATAAATAAATAATTATTCAACATGGCTATAATGTAGAATATAAAGTGATAAATTTAATAAGAAATATCGCTGGTAACAGTTTTTTTTTCAAGTATTCTACGTACCCAATATTAAGAGCAATCGTCTGGACTGGAGCAATCACCTTATATTAATTAAGTTTCCATATTAATTGGAAAATCCAATCAAGTTTAAGATTGACCATTGTTTAAATAACTCAGATTGAGTTGTAAAGGAATGATTGGCACAAGCTTTTATCTCTAGTTCGGCTCAAATGCCTTTCGGAAGACCAGGGGATCCAGGTTTCCCCAAATAAATAACTTGACTTAAATAAAGTCACTTTAATAATGGAATTTATTGACAGTTCGAGCTTTTATGATATAACAAAGCAGTTGAAGGTTTCATTGATATTGCGGTCTTGCACCTCGGGAAAAAACCGATCGAGTGGAAACAAATATCTTGAATTATTGATAATTATCAAATCAACTTCATCCATTCATTGTTGAAATTTATATTTCCATTTCTGACTGCTTTGATTGAAGATTATTTCATTTGACGCTTTTTATCATGTTTTTAAATTTAACATTTCATTTTATGTTAAGGGTTGGGTTTTTTAGTAACTTAAAATTTTAAGTTCCAGCTGTGATGTTTTTGAAAAAATTTCAACAATTTAAAGGGCCATATTGTGTATGGGAATTTTTTTATTTTTTTATGATTTTATTGGACAAGCCTTCCTTCAATAAGAATTGACCTGAAGAATATTTTTGTCCAAGTTGGAGCATAAGTTGTACTTGAATATTTGTTCTGCACATTTTAGTTGCCTATCCCATTCAAGCTTTGTTCTATTTTGTATTTGTTGACATACAACGCTTAAAATTCTACCCTCACCAAAAAATTAATGACTGCAGCGTGAAGATCTGGCAATCTTCAGACAGGGTTTTTTATGAGTGTACTTATCCCAAGCCTTGAGCTTACAATTCTGCAGAATACAGAAGGAATTTTGGAAAAGCCATGAATTTTTTAGTAAAGATTCAAAATATATATGATCTATTCATTTGTCTCATGCTTATATTCATATAATATTTATAGTAACATGAATTTTGGATACAACAGTGATATGAACGTGGATCAATTAAGCATGGTTATTGTTATGAAATTGAACATTTAATGTCTTTTTCAAAATTGACAATTAATCTCTCTGTCAAACTTCCTTGTTTTCTTATGTATTTTTGGTAATACTTGTTATTAATTTATCGAAATTGATTCTTTACTAGAGAGAAGAGAATAAATGAAATCAATAGAAAAATCGACTCACAGTAATTGTGAATATTGATTGAATTTTTAGTTATTTTTACTGCTTCTACTAAAATTCACCTTCATTCATTATCATCGATAAATATTAAAATAATTTGCTGCGAATTTGTCTAATTTTTTGTTTCAACATAAAAAAATAATTATCAAATTTAACATATTATTTCGAAAACAATATGCTAATTATTCACAGATAGATTTTAACAAAGTATATCTTTATGACACTTATTAAACAAAGTTCAATATTAATGTACATGAAATCTAAAATTTATAATCCATCAAAAATATAATAGCCCATTAGTAAAATATTTTTTTACAATTATCAATATTATTTTTAACCATTCATGACATTTGTTAATTTAAAAAACATTATATATGTTTATAATCTTCAAGATACAGCACCTGAAACTTCATCATAACAGGTTTTATAACGATTAAATAACATGAAAGTTAGCAATAAAGTTTTTATAAACATGGTGGAATTAACTGTAAGAGATTCTTTAGAAAGTTTCTATACTTTATAATAAATTTCTGATAATTACACAATTTATTTTGCATTTAATATGCAAACAACAATTATCATTATTTATATTAATTAAATAGACTCACCAAAAGAGATTTATTACAGATAATCAATAAAAAATCTACTTTTTCTCCCATTTTCCTACTTGAAAATAAATAATAAAAATTGTCTATTAGTGAAAGAAAAAATTATTAATTTGATAAAAGTGCATTATTTTTGTGTCCAGTGGGTGATCATTACTACCCAAGTATAAACGTTATCATTATTTTGATTACTAATTATTGGTGGTTGCCTGGAACAAATGTAAATTGTACTTGTAAAACATGATATTTTTCCTTCTTTAACGATGCGTGAAAGTAATCGTTATTAGGTTCTAGCATACTTAAATACATATAGAAATTTATTTTATGCTTACGTTTATCTTCAGCAGAACGGACGGGTGAGTACTTGAGTACAAAATTCCAAAAAAATATTGTTGATTTAGAAGGCATTTTATCAGATGTTATATTTAAGTAGTTAATAATTTTCATTTGGATGACGTTTTTTTGTTGTATCAATACAATACACAGGTGTTTAGATATTTGTATAGCAAATATAAAGTTTGCTTATTTGGAGTCATTATAGCAGATAATAGATATATTTTCTTGATATAAAACTAGTCTAGCAGTTGATTCCATAACGTAGCAATATGAATGCATTTGCATATATTTTCGATTTATTCATCTGTACGTTCATTTATTGCATATTTATTGAAAGCTAGAGAAACTGGCGTGATAAATTTAAATTCGTCACTTGAACAAGTTGTTTGCGATTGAGTTTAATATTTATACAGGCTAAATGTCGGCTACTGCTCTCCAATTATGTATATTTGCTCAATTTAAACCGCTTAAAAATCATAAAACATATTCTCTCTGATGAATTATTGAAATTGGAAATCAAAAAAAAAAAAATTGCTTAATGGAAATTTTAGTTTCAGAAAGTGTTTTCTCAGCAGCTGTGGGGGTTGGAGTCGGTGGTTATACCTGGGGTGCACCCACACCACCACCTGGATCACCATACAGTCCAGTACCTGGTGTGACACAACTGGAATTGTTAGCTAAAAACTTGGCTAATCTTACACCACATCATACTCAACAACCATTAAGTCTTCAGGGAGTTGGAGTGAACGTTGGTGCTAGTCTCCATCATGCTCAGCATACTCAACATACACTTAACCTCGCTGGTCTTCATCATCTTCATCACGGTGAGTCGATGGTGACGAGTACATCGACAACCGCGTTTACGTCCAAGTTTATTAATGAGCGTACATTTACACTCGGTTAGTCATCAACCAAAATTATATCCCTCGATGTTTTTCTACTTTTCCTCCTCTATTTTTTATTCTTCTGATGCTTGACATTATGTGTTATTAGTTTGTTGCCTGGTTTTATTACAATCTGTGATTAGGTAGCACTCGTGATGTTGTTGTGTTTGTATGGTTTGAACTAATGTGATGTCTCGGGTTTGAGGGGGAGAATTATTTTTGAAGTATTGAAATATTTTTAGGCGAAAAAACAATATTGCGTTTTATCACTATTTCATGGTATCTTGATTATTGACAAGAATTGCTGAACTATTTTTTCTGACAACAAAGTAATTTTTTTAAAAATAAAATTGCTGAACAAATTATCTTCAGTTGTTTAAAAATAACCTTTTCTTTAAGATATTGACAAAATCTTTCTACTTAATGTTATGATTTTTGGTGGTATTTTATTTTAAATATTTATTTTTTATCTAAATCATCTTCTTGAATGCTAATAACGAAGTGAATGTTAAAAAAATATATATTCTAAATATAAATATCTACTTTATAAATTGTTTCGCTTAAAAATATTTAGATTGAAAAATAATTGTTTCCCTCAATCATTCAAAATAAATGAACATTGGACATTTATTAATTAAAGGTGGTCTTCATCAAGGTACATTTTCACCACAACTATCTCTGGTAACTGCTGGAACACCAACTTTAACAATTAACAGTTTTTCTTCGCCTAATACTCCAGCAAGTGTGGTACCGAGTAATGGATTATTAGTGCAAGAATATCAGTCTGCAGTACCAAGTCCAATAGCAGTCTGTCCATCATCAACTAGTGGGTCTTCCTCAATTCCAACAGGCGCTGCAGCATGTACTGTCAGCACTGTCATAGTCCAAGGTGCTCAAACGGGCAGCACTTTTGTACAAAGTACAACTAAGAAACGAGAGTCCTTTGTTACTACTCAAGCTCAAACTTCAATAAAAGTAGAAAATAAAACAACTCGACAGTCGTGTGTTTGTAAAAGCACCAATGCTAGTAGTGGTGAGTATTTTAGTTCTAAAAACAAAACAAAATTTATACAATTCAACTTTACGAATTTTTAAAGATATCAGATGGTTATACTAAATTTATTATCTTTTAAAAATCTTTGATTCTGCCGGAACAATGATCAGTAGTCAAGAATTTAGATTAAAAAAATTTTCATATACATACACACAGCTACGTAATGTCCAAGATTAAACAAATCGATTGATATCAAGATCATTGGAATTGGCTGGACCGTTAAGTTTCCAGAACAGAACATATATGCATGAAGAGACATAGCTCCACACATGGACTGATGAATATATTACCCTCATTTGCTCGGCGCATTAGGATAAAAAACGCGATTAATCGTGCTCGCGATTATCTATCAGTTGATTGCCTTTGTCTCTCATCGATTCAGAAGATCGATTCGAGAAATAAATTCTAAAACCAAGATGTACACTAATATTAAGTTAGAAAAAATACTGCCAAATAAATCAATAACATAATAATTGAGTTAACGTTTTATTATTCATTTTACCAATTAATTTATTATAAATTTAATGTTTAAAGACGAATTTTGATAATTATTTTATTTCTGCTAATGATATTCTTTGTGATCAATTTAGTTACCCGATAATATTTGAAAGAGCTTTTAATTAAGATAAATTTATATCAAGTGCTCTTAGCACAGAACAGTCTTATCGATTCTTTTATTTTATTGGCACAGTGTTGACATTATTATCAATTTATTTAAAATACTGTAGTAATTTAGTTGGTTTAGTGAGTAGATAAATGAACATTTTACATCAAAATTATTCCAACAATCATTCTATTTCCCACAGTAGTATTAGTCAATTAATGGATAGTCTACTGATGATCCATCAATCTTACTCAGGTTGATGAAATGCGAAAAGTTGGCTGATTTAAAGTATTTTTATTCGTAATCTCATTGGTTGTTGGACCCATCAGTTAACTTCAAGTCATTGGAGACTGAACATGATCACATAAATTCACGTTTCATTATTTTTTTCCTAATCATCAACACAATCTCTTCATCTACTTATTATTCCAAAGAAAACAGTCAAAGTCTAACAAAGAAAACTTATTATTTATATCGAAAACATTAAAAATTAATGATACCAACTAAATTAAACTTTCTAATTCTCATAGAAATTTACAGTAACAAAATAACATATTGTTTATACTCATTTAATTAAATATTTAATTGTTAAGTTAGGCTTTTTGTAAGTGTAGGTAACTTGATGTTGATGACATCATTGATTTTTTCATCATCGCTGTAAATAAATAGATGTTCATCATTTTACTAAACTAGAGAATATGTATTTTTACTTGTTTCCAAAAATCGGTAACGATAAATTTTCATTGTATGTTTCTTCCTTCAATCGAAAATAAAACTTTTAGACCAGTTAATATTTTAACTCAAATGATCACAAGAAACATTTATAGCAATACTAGTACATACCTAATGGTGAATAACAAAATGATAACCTTGATTATAATGAATTTTTCTGTGGCAGTAAGTACCTAAATCTAGAGTTATGGCGATCGTTTATGACTGCACGAGATGACAGACTCGCTTACGCAACAAGTCCTCTATTCCGCTTTTCTGTTCTATATTTAAGCATCAGAGTCTCGTCGCTTAGTTTATCGTTCTCGCCAGTTTTACATCTATCGTCATGGCTTTTTTCTTATTGTATATGAGATAAAAATATCAAATTTTCATACCATTCTCCAGGCAAAACAAAGGTTGTCCACTCAGAAGCAGGATGCAGCCGGACTTTACCAGTTGTCTCATCTTGGAATGGCCAAGACACTTCGTCCTGCGCGAATGCCTTGAACAACGCGAGTACCGCAACTAATCTCGTCAAGAGAGAACCTCTTGCTGCGGTGCCTTGTCAAGTAGCTGAAGTCTCAACGTCTCTTCACGCTACAACTACAGCTGTTAAGATTGAACCTCTTCCACCAAAATCTGAGAATGGTGCGTTTTTTTATTTATTCATTTTTTCGTCTTTTATTTCATTCGATAATATCAGGATATTATTTAGCCCTTCAGAAAATTGCTATGCACGTATTGGAATCCGTTGAAGAAATATGATAATTTTAGGAAGGAACAATTGACTGAATTAGTTTTTAGTTAGAGAATTAAATTATTGAGATTTGAAGAGACATTTTGACCTTTTTTGGTGAAATAAAACATCTATTGATTGAAAGTCAGTTGGATGGGAATTTTAGAAAACAATCAACTGCTATTCATTCATGGCTGTGGAATGAGTGATTGTAATGATGAAAATAAAAGACAGGATTTGAAAGAATCTGCTTACTATTGATCTAAAATAGACAGCTATCACTTCGTGATCGATTTGGTTAAATAAATGAATTTTATATTATTTATTTTAAACATAAAGTTGACATTAGTTAGAGAGAGGATATTTTTGAAAATATGAGATTTTATTGAAATGTTAAAGTTGGAAAAAATGTTTTGTATAAAATAACTTGACATCATGTGGAAATAATTTGAATGACCAATAACTATAATAATACTTTTAATTTGAAAATATTGAAATGCCAATTTATTTTTTATACAATCGAATAGAATTTAAAAATACTAGAGAGATTAAATGAATGATAGTATAATATAACTTTACAAATTAAAGAATATAATACCATAGAATATTCAATCGCAATAAAATTGTTTTTCTCCATCTTCATTATTTCATACATACTCTTACACGTAATCATCCCACTTTTCGATAAAAAATTCATTTTATTTTATTATAGAATAGATAGAGTATTACGGAAATCGATGTATTTGTATTTAATTTTTTTAGTTTTTTTTTCATCATTTGTTAATTATTAAGTCCTAAATATTTTAAAAAAAATATTAGTGCCATCGTTTTTTATTTTATGAAATTGAAAATTTATTATTTAAAAATAATCATTTATTTATGCGAGCTGTTTATAGAATAATAAATTACTTTTAATAATTAATTACTTACAATCAAATGATTTTTTCAGATTATATTCAAATTAAATATCGATTATTTTATTTAAGATTGTTTGTTTAGAACCTAGTGGTTAAAATTTTTAATTAATTACTAATTTGGTGACACTACAGTGTGAGGGTAAAAATTACTATACACATTGTAAAAATTATTAAACTGCATTGTAATTTTTGCCCTCACACTGCAATGTCACCAAATTACTATTAAATTTATGGTAATTTTTCATATAAACTTCTCTGTACGTAAGAGAATTTTTTTCAGTGAGTTCTATGATAATTATCATTTTATCAAATCTTACAGTTGCTTTTAAACAAGGTAAGGCTAATAATATCAATAAATTTATTGTTAAAATTTTTTTTAATTTTTATGAAAAATTAGATTTTCTTTATTTCAACAAATTTAGTTATTTTATTTTCATTCATAATAATTGTGAATATTAACATTTGAACGTAAAATGTATAGGCTGATAATGAGCGAGTGAAGTTAAAAGAAAATACCAACTTGATCATTTTTTGTACCATGTAATAAATTACATCACCTAATGAACGCCAGTTCATTTGTCTCTATTCTTGAATGCTTGATAATCAATAATTTTAGATAAAACTATATAATAATGAAGTAGAAATAAAAAAAATTGAATATTTTTTTCTTTTATGCTTCTGATGGCAACCAATGGGAAGTTGATTTTATGCGGACCCTTTCATTACATGCGTTCTCTTTGCATGTAATGAAAAGACATAGGGGAGAATGAAAGAGGCGGTACAAGAAGATGAGGGTGAATTTTTCGTGTTAAGTCTTGTGTATGTGGATAAATTGAGTCACGGAAAATGGAAAAAATGTGATGCAAAGAAAAAAAAAGATAAGAACAATTGAGATCTAGGTGTTTAGTTTAAGTAGAGTATTAGAGAGTTTTTAAAAACTCAATGGCTATATTTGTACCAGTGGGTAGTGGAGGGAAGAGGAGGAGGAGGGGGGGGGGAATTATGAGAATGAGGGTGATGTTAAAAGCCAAAAAAGAGAGTGAGAAGAGGCCAGTTGGTTAAGTAGGAGGTGCGTGGCACGCATGGCGACGTAAATATAAGGCGTGGCTCGAGAAAACAAGTCTCGACTAGGTATATACCATATATATATATACACATCTATACACCTATATGTATATATCTACCTACCAACGAGTAACCACATCCAGCAAATTACGATATGTTTTCTGAACGCCTACATGACCGTCTTACATCGCAATAAATACTAATATTAATTTATCACCAGCTTTTTTATAATTAATATGTATATTTTTATTGAATATATTTCAGGAATAGTTGTGTCTACTGCTGCAGCAAATGGCATTCCTGTGGGCATTGCAGTTGCTCGCCAAAGGTTACAACATCACCAGGAAACATCGTCTACGTCTATGAGAAATGTTTCACTGAGTCATCACACGTCGCACCATGCCAGCTATCATCATTTCCAACCAGACAATCTCGGTAAATATTATTTTAAAAAGCCAAGAATAATAAAAGACTTTACTCAACTTCCAAAAAATGCATTGTGTAAGCAGCATATATGTATATATGTATGTATTCGGTAATACATTTTTTATCTGTTTCTTATTTCGTTTATCTTGAATGTATCGTGGGTAGTGTTGCGGATAAACGGTATCCAATACTATGCTGCTTTCATTAATGCCATTGGACGCAATGTATATACAGGAGAGTCATCGGAATTCCCGAGGCAGTGCAACGTAGACCGAAGCGTTCAGGATAAATGTCGAGGTGGAATATTAACGAGGGTAAACGCGAGAGCGTATGAAAGAGAGGCGGGGTTTTATTCATTCAAAATTTGTCCTCATGAAAAGAGTAGAAAAAAGAAGGTTGAATGTAGATATAAAGTGAGAGATATGTAATTGGTAGTATGTAGAAGCATATCGTAGAAAAGAATCGAATAAGGCCGCTCCTCTCTAGGCTTCATGCCTATATCTGTAGTCGGATTTTGCGGGCACGACCATGTTTGCTTCTGCCAGCACGAAGAAAGAGCGGTGAGCACTCACCGAGTGACGCCGTGGAATACAACTCGTGTGTAAAGAGGCCGCGCCAAGTTAAAGAGAGGAGTTAAATTGCGGAGTCAGTAGGAAGAGCATTTGCGATAGTGAGGGCCAGCATACACTCAATGTGTAGATGTAGGAAGTGTTTGTTGCTGTAGAGCTCATGCCAGAGTGTGTGGGTATAAGAGAGGAGAGTCACGGCAATTTTAGCGTATCGACTAACAGAGAGGGTGGATCTTTTTACAGGATCGACCACGGCCATGGCGATGGGCGGCGCGACGCTGGTTCATTGTACTGGAAGTGGGGATGAACGGCCAGCCCACCTTGCCATCCCCTCAGGCGCTTTGGCACCCTCGATCAACGCAACCCTAAATTCAGGCTTGAACAACATTGGACCAAGTGCGCCGGGCACATGGCCTCCAACATTGTGGCAATACCCTACTACAGGTAGATTTCAGATATATTTATTTTCCCGCTCGTTTTTGACTTTATTCTATTTTTCGCTTTGATATTTATTCATAATAAATTCACTAATCAATTATATATGTGAACAATGGTCTGATGTCTGCTAAATAATTTGATAACTATTTGTGGACTGTGACCAATTGACATTAAGCTAAATCAAGTGTAACGAGACATCTATTTACGTACCAGTTTATATTAATTATTAATCAACTAGAATGTATATATTACTCAAGACATTGTAACATAATACTTTGATTGATAAATGTACCTTTCATTTGTTTTATTATTCAGCAATGCCTGCCCTGGAGCCAGTAGGATTCCCACAACTCGGCGTTGGACTACAAGGTGGTCTCCAATTAGTCAGAGATCCCTCAACTGGTCATCTGCTGCTTATTCATGCAGCTGGTAAGCTTTCAACGACATCCCTTTAACTTGGTTCAATATTTACCAACTTATGCAATAATAATGATGTTTTCATGATTTCAGCTGAGCAAATGCAACAAGCTGTTGTCTGGCCAAATTATCCCAATCCAAGTGGGCCAAATATTAGTGCTCCCCCTTTGTTATTACCTGGACCAACAACACCACCTTCACTTCAACTCCTCAGTGATATTAATGGTGCTAGATTGGTTCTAACTGATAACAAACGGAAACAACCAAATAATATACCTATTGTTAAGATTGAAGCTGACTGTACTCCACCTACTACAACAATTATTGGTGAGTTTTAATTATCCAAAAATGTGATATAAATATTTCTGATTCAATTTATTTATTCAATTTTCTCTTTTAGCATCAACAGAATCAAATAAAGCCTTGCAAACAGTTACAACAATGACAGGTTCTCTGGTAACTGATGCACCTTTATTAACAGCATTACATTATTATCCTCATGCTCCAGCTTTAGTTCAAATAAGTCAATCTGAATCAACTCAATGTAAAACTCAGGTTAGTGTAATTAATTTTAAAATATATTGTTTAAACTAATTCGTTATTTTTAAATTAAAATTTTTATTTTTTTTAGCAGAAAAGTACATTTATATCAAAAGCAACGTCTCCCGTATCGTGCCTGACTCCCCCACCAGATGTTACACCAACACATGCAATTGAAGGTCTCGACAATACCGGTCTTGGCGTTCAAGATGCTTCTAATCAGACTGATACTCCTGAGACTGAAGAGGACCATCATCATAACGATGGACTGGTCAAACATGAACAAATATTTTCTTCTTGTCAGCAACAGGTGGTTACGCATTGTACAAATTTTGATGTTGTTTCGTCGACTGTTGAAAAACCACGTATTGTAAACAGCAGCAATTGTGATACAGAGATTATTGAAAAAATAGCATCAGTAAATAAAATTGATAAGTCATCAGTAGTTATGATAAAAGAGTCTTTAAAAACCGAGGTCGTTAGTACAGTTGATCAGGAGACAGAGAAAGACAAAGAAAAAGAAGAGGATGATGAAGCTGAGTCAATTAGTATTGATGATATTGCTGAGGAGAGGATACGTAGACGTGGATCACGAGTTATTGAAATCACAGAAGAAAATTGTGATAGTTTTCATGAAAATCTTGAATTTTTTGGAAGACGAAGGAATCCTATAGAACAACTTAAAAAGCCCCATTACACTGATGAAGCTCTAAATGAGGAAATGATGATTGAAAAAATCAGAAGAGAAGAATCAACTTGTGAAGACGATAACCTGAATGATACTCATGTCGATAAAGATCATTATCAATCGGTATCATCAACTTTACAATCTTTAGATCACACAGAAGATAATGAAATAAATAAACTCGACGAAGTTGCTAGTTCATCTGGGGAGTTATTGCAATGTACAGAGCAAGCTGATTCAAGTAGTTCACCTTATGAAAAGAGTAAAGATGAACCACTTGTTAGTGTCAAATCTTTGGACATGCCTTCGATTGATTGTGATGATGAAATAGATGGAACTAATGTTATTGTTAAGAGAGAAGTCTCAAACAATTTCGCTACATGTGCAATAGAAACTGATAATGTTAAAAGTCTTCCCGAGAAACTAAGTCGGAATGATAACAAAAAATTTTGCAATGAAAAATATCATGCTGGAATTGAAAATGTTGTGGAAAAGTTGAAGAAAAATGCTGCAGCTCTTCAGGACAATTCAATAGCTCAAAAACTGTCTGGAGAACGAGAGCAAGCACAAGTAGTTTCAATACAACGATCTGTTGGTCGTTGTTTACCAAGGACAACCAGTAATGGATTAAAAAAACATATTTTACGATTTTGTGAAACTACTTCAAGTACTGAAACTTCTGGTAACTCTGGTGAACAAGAAAAAGATAATAATGTCTTGAAAAAAGATTCAAGTTCACTTTCTATTTGGTCTACTATTAACAATAATGTTTGTAGTAGTACTAATAGCAATAATAATGATAATAATAGTAATAACAGTAATAATAATAATTGTATAAATACTGATAAGTTATCACAGACTGTTGATCCAATTATTTTGTCTGAAAAAACATCGAAAAACTTCGTCACATCAAAAAACGCAAATGAAGTGAATACTGAAAGCGATAATGTACGATTTCGTAGCAAATTTTTCAAGAATAATCAAACCTGTGGTAAACCAAAATCATCTGTTGATCTCAGTGGACTTGAATTACTATCCAATAGTATTGCACAATTTGAACACTTGAAACAGGACAATACTGACAATAATACTAGTAATTCAGATATTGAATGTTCACCAAAGAAAGATAAAGTCCAAGGACAACAGACAGAAAGTAACAATAACAATGTTGATAGTCCTCTAGGACTTCTTTGTGCATTAGCAGAACAAAGATTCATGGAGGAAGTTGGAGATGATGTTCCTAAACGATCAGCGAGTTTTGAAAATTCTGAAGAAATTTCTTGTGCTGGAGTTTTATTGATGAATTTGGGTAAAGAAAGAGGAAAAGTTGAAAAAAGAAGGCATTCGGTGGATGATAATACTTATAGGAGTATTAAAAGAACACGAAAAGAATTATTTCATGCATTTAAAAATGATTCTCCAAATATTGACACATTGAAGGTTAAAAAATCGAAATATTCTGATGAAAATGAGGCGGCTGATGATGCAGATGATGACTACACTGATTCTGAGGGAGATAATAGATCTTCCCCCGTATTTGATATTCATAAAATTGAAGGAAATAAAGGTGGTGACTCAGTTGATAAGAAAAATAATTTGAGCGACAAAAATTCAAAGAATGATAAAAATTGGTCGAAGATAAAAGCAATGGAAATGGATATGAGAGAAAGGTTGGCAGATATTCAGAAAAAGTACAAAGAGAAACAAAAAGAATTGTCCAAACTACCTCTTAGAAAAGATGACAAAAAAGTGTGCTCTAGACAAAAGAAATTTAATTCAGACTGCGAACAATCTGTAGAAGAAGCTGATGTACCAATTAAATCTCTTCATGGTTCAGATGATGACATTCCATCAGCATTAAGTCTTAATGTTTTACCAATGCCGAGAGGTAACGTTAATCTCATAAAATTAGCAGAACCAAGAAGTCATATAAAGTTATTAGATAGTATTCCTAGTATTTCTCTACCTGTTACTTCAGTTACATCACCAATCATTACATCGCCAATAAGTAAGATTATTTCAGAAGATGAAGATAATAAAAATTCAGCTGCAATGGATTACGATACATCGTCTTCAGCGCCAACGATTGCAAGCTCAAGTTCAGCAAAAAAACGTAAAGTTGGAAGACCTCGAAAACTTATGTGTTCGTCCATGAGTGCACGACATCTAACAGAAACTATTGTAGCGAAAAAATCAAGAAGTAAAAGCTCACTCGTGAGTTACTTACTGAATTCGAAGAATAGACATTACCCGAATAAATTAAACGGAAAGTCTGGACATGCTTCATTACCCATCAAATGTGGTCTGACGAGTCCAAAGGGCATGACAAAAAGTCACAAGATGAATAAAGCAAAAGTAAAACCCATAAAACAAACCCCGCTGCATAACAAAAATGTCATTAGCTCGATTATTGCAGAGAAAGCTAAACTCAGTCAAGAGGCAAAATTGGAAAAACAGGTAATGAAGCTTAAGCCAAAATTTAAGGCTGAAAATAAAGTAAGAGACTGGAATGATGATGAGGAAAATGAATGGAATTATGACATGCAAGGTACTACTGTAGTTAACGATTCTATTATCGATGAATCTAGTAAAAAAGATGAATCACTAGATGATAATAAATTATCCCAAGTACAAGCAACTCAATTGTTAAGGGTAGACGAAGATTACTTAGAAGTTAGAGAATTGGAAAAATACGAGAAATCTAAAAAGAAAAAACGAAAGTCTACGTCTTCCTCTCCTTTGAGGCGTAAATCAGGGGAACATGATAAGAAAGAGTCCAAACGAAGGAAGTCTTCCGATTGTAAAGAGTGTAAAGAATGTGCTAAAGTAGCTAAAGCTGAAAGAGCTGAGAGTATTACCAACAGATGTAAATTGACGTCAGCGCATCTTTCAATCGATCAACTGAGAGTTTTAACAGCTATGGGAGGACTCTTCTATGCTGGACGATTAAATGCGATTCAACCTCCTGATGTTTATGCGATTACACTTGACGGTGAACGAGGCAATAGACCGCATATACACTCAAGGGAGGAAATCTTGCGTGATGCTATTGTCGAAGTTTGTCCTGGTTCTACAAAGGAATTACCACCAGGAACAAGACTTTGTGCTTACTGGAGTCAACAGTATCGATGTTTATACCCTGGAACATCAGTTGAACCCTCTGATCCTGACTCCGAGCTGGATGAAAAATTTGTCAGTGTTGAATTTGACGATGGTGACAGCGGAAGAATAGCTTTGGATGATATCAGACTTCTTCAGCCTGATTATCCAGTTGTTGAATATGATCCCAATCCTCTATTAAGTTTGGGTAAGAAACGAAGACAAACATCTGTGTCAACTGATGATAAGCGTGCCTCATGTGATGGCCTACCGTGTTCAAAATCTGAATTCACAGCAGATGTGTCAACGGTTTCAGCAAATTATCCAGATAATGAGAAAGCTGATAATGAACAAAACTTGTTAGGACTTGATGGAAAGGCACTAGATGAGTACAGAGAGCGAAAAAAATTAAAAAAACGACGGCGTGATAAATTAAAAAGACTTCAACAAGTTCAAGAAGGTAAAAAGAAACATAAAAGACACAAGTGCTGTGAAGAACATAGAAAACATAAGCACAGGAAACATCGCAAGCACAAACATAAACATAGTCATCATTCAAGTCATAATGAGAGTAGTCACGTAAGTGGTGGTGAAAGTTGTTCAGGATTAAAAAGTGAAGAAGAAGGAGAGAATGAAGGTAGTACAATGTCTGAAGAATTATCGGCTAATAAAAGTACATTGAAAATGCCAACAGAACCTGTAATTCCTCCACAAATAGTCCATAAAGATCCTGTGTCTGTGGAGAAAATAGAAAAACCCAAAAAGCCTGATAAAAAGTCAAAGACCAGAGAACGCCAGGAGTCTGTAGAAAGCAGGAGTAAAATGGCAGCTTTCTTGCCGGCAAGACAGCTGTGGGGATGGGCTGGTAAAGGTTATAGGAGGCCAGGAGCTAAGGGTAGAGCTAAGAAACAATTTTTCAAAGCCATTCAACGTGGGAATGAAACTATACAGATTGGAGATAGTGCCGTGTTCCTTTCTACTGGACGTCCTGATAGACCATACATTGGTAAAATCGAATCCATGTGGGAAACTACCAGTTCTAATATGATTGTTAAAGTTAAATGGTTCTATCATCCTGAAGAAACTGTTGGCTGTCCAGCTAACTTGAAATATCCGGTAAGATATTGTAGATTAAAATTTTTTATTGGTAATAACAATGAAATGCCTATAGGCAGTTTAGAGTTTTAATAATTGATTGATGTGTTACGTGATGAGTTTACAAAAAAATATTTAAGAACGTCTTTACGGTATTTTTAAAATGGATTTTGCATTATTTGTTAAAAATATATATTTCAAGTAATACTTACTGGAACTTTACTTTAAGGAAAGAATTGATTGCATTTTAAATCAAAAAGGAATTTTTGATATTACGAATCCTAAATTTAACACTCAAGTACTTTTTTATTTTATGTTTTTTTTCAAGATCTTATTCATAATGTTGAAGTTTTCAATTGATTGCACTTGGTTTCATTCTTAGTGGAATTTCAAAGTACTATATTTCTATGCAATCTCATATTTACTGTGCTTGACCCAAGTAAGACAGTAGAAAAGGGGATAATCCTCTTTGCTACTATCTTCCTTTCTTGATATTTATTAGCCCAGAAATACTTAACTAGACGATTTAGTAAGTTATCATGCTTTTGAATTTTAATGCTAAATCTAAGAATCATTTATTAAATATAATATTAGCTTTACTAAATATCTATCTACATGAACTCCATTTATTCGTTTTATTTATTCAGTCCATAAAACACTAATTTGACTCACGAATTTTACTGCAAATCAACTGATTGAATTGATAATTTATTTTTCGAATAAATGAATATTTATCAATTTTCCTTATTTTTTTTAAAGTTCATGAAATCAATTTATACATTTCAATTTATCAATTTATAAATAATTTTATTTTGTTTTTCACAATGAAATTAATATTAATAACATTAAAAGTTGGCTTGAAATTAAACTTGTCTGTAACTTATTTGCATAATTCTAAATTAATTACTCTTAAATAATTAGTTTCATTTATTTATTGCACTTGCTCGTATTGGTATAAACTATTTTATTGTTGAGACTAAGAAATCATTATCAATGTAACAATTGAAATCAAGCTATATGTTGTAAAAATAATTAAAAATATAAATTAAATTATGCAGTGAAATATTTTTATCATCCAGTGAAATTTATTAAATTATCGTTTTATAATTAAACTCGACGAGGCACAATACAAGACAATTAAATTACTACAATTTCTAGCATATAGTTTTGAATGCTCTCTCTGCAATATGATCCGGAGATGTTCTTAAAAATTTTAATGGTAGACAATCAAGCTTCATGACAATTTTCGTTTGCTAATCTAAATTCACTTTTCCAGGGTGCCTTGTTTGAATCACCACACATGGATGAGAATGACGTACAGACAATATCTCACAAATGTGAAGTACTTCCGCTACAGGATTACACAACAAAATTAGGGAAAGAGCCACACAGATATCTTACTATTTACGACAACAACGATATTTATTATCTCGCTGGATATTACGATCCCACAACATATCTGCTTACTTTGCAACCTGGAGTTGTCTAAATAGCTCTAATATACAGGGACTCACATATAGTTTAACATTTTAAAAACTTTGATTATAATTATCTTTCTTGACAAATCAGAACAAATCTGATGAACTTTTATGAAAACTAATGCAATCGAATGCAATAATGATTTACTGTGAAATTAGCATTGAGTTAATGCTATTTATCTATAACAGTAAAACAGTAATTAAATGTAAATAATGTATATATATTTTTTAATACTTCTCTCGATATTATTTGCAACATATTGGAGGATAGATAACTAGAATTTCCATTGCAAAAAATGATTCATTAAAAAAGACACCTGAAATAGTTGTTAAGTGATACTAAAAAATACGGTGCTAAAAACTGTCTTTACTCACATACACAATGCTGGTTTTATTATTCGAGTTAAAGCACTATGCGTTGACAATGCATATCTATTTAAATATGTTCTTTTTTTTTGTTACGAATATATAAAAGTTTTGTTCAACTTTAGTATTGCGGATCGATAATAATCCGTGCTACTGTGCAACATGTAAGCTAATTTTTATAAAATCATTTTGAAGCGCCAACTGATTGAAAAGAAGAATGAGAAGAAATACTATAGTGTCGAGGTCGTTTGTTTATATATTCTGTTATATAAATATATAAATTTTGCTTATAAAGTCTTCTGTATTTGTATATCGAAAATGTCTTGAGATTTTGAAACAAATTGGATCATCTACAATCAGTAGTTGATGGTAAAATATGACTTAGTACAAATTAAAAAACACAATAATTGTTGTCTAAGTGCGAGTTAAGAGTCAAAAATAAGTAAAATCTGTATGCTAAGCACATAAATGACAAATGTAAAATGTACTTATGTATCAATTAACCATTGATAGCTTTTTTGCTTTTATTTTGTACATATGGTTTAGATATTTACAATGGTATTAATGTAACAAAAAATGGCAGAAGTTACTGCAGCCATTATTGGTAGAAAACGCATCTATGTATATACCGTATAGTATTTTTCCATACAAAAATTAGAAAGAGGGAATAATAAAAAGAACATGAAAATAATTACGGCCTACTTTGCAATTCAATCCTCATAGAGTGAGGATTAACTAATGGCATACAGAAAATTTTTAATGATTATAATTCATATTAGAAGGAAATAATTATTTACTACATCTACCTATAAGAAATTATTTTTTAATAATTAAATTCAAATATCATTAATAATTGAGTTCCACTTATGAGATTAATTGAATTAATGTGCTATAAATGACTGGACTAAAAAGTGGAACATAATTAATAATGGATATAATCAAATATATGTAATGAATTAAAAATGCTGTAGTTTTCCTTCACGAATCGTAATCAAAGATTCGATTCTGTGTTTGGAAGTAAAGATGAATACTAATTAATAACATTGATAATATTATAATTTAAAAAATAATGATAATAATATAAAAAATAAAAATAATTAAATTTTTACTAGTCGAGCAGTTGAAAAAAAATTTCTTTTCAAATGATAAACAAAAAAAAAGTTGATAGTACAAGGCTCGAAAAAAAACAAATGTTCTATAAGTTTCAATATTAATGACTGCACTTGAATTAATCGCGTAAAATTCTGTACAAGTATTTTGTGATCATAAAAGCAAAACAAGAATTTTTTAACAAATTAAATAGATACGAACAACATGTAAATAAGTAATGTTTATTGGAAAATTGCACACGGTTAACTTTTCGTAATAAAACAAATTGGAGTAAACACGTATTTTCTGACAATCGTTGAACCACCAAAATATTAAATTTTAGTTTAATATCTCAGTCGAAAAGTTGGAATAATTAAATAATGTAGAATTAGCTGTGTTCGGGCCAAGGTATTTTGCGCTTAATATAAGAAAAAAGTAAGTTAATGATTTAAGTGAAGACAAAATAATATGGTACGAAGAGTAAATATTTTATTGTAGAGAAATTGAAATTATTATATTTTTCATTAAAAACGTAGTTTTTAAACATTGAAAGAAAATTGAAAAAATAAAAAAATTATTTGTTTAATACCCAGATATTTTAGTTAAACATGAAATTTTATATTATCTTCAAAAGACAAATGAATTATTCATCTATTTGTATATAAAAATAACTCTTATAAAATAAATATAAATTCCATTGTAATTATATTATTTACATTTTATTTTTCTTTGATATTGATTTTATACTTAACAAGTCTGTTTGGTCGTTAAAATAAAACTTTTTGTAATAAATGAAATCTAAATTAACTTTAGACTTCATTGCTTAACTATGATAAAAAAAAATAATTCTAAGTAAAAAGTCAAAATTTGAATATGTTTTATACTTATGCTTTTTAGAAAAGTCAGTTTGCATAATATGTAGTCCATATTTCATATGTATATTCATTATTATCTTGATGTTAAACATTGAGTAAAAATAAATATTAGTTCAATAACTTTAAGAAAAGTTTCTTAGGAGACTCTAACACGCACATACTAAACAGTTGAAAAATATAAAACCGTTTAAAAAACTTTATAATAATTGCAATAGCATTAAAAATATACTGATAAATAGCAAAACAAATGCCAAGACACAATGGATGATCCGTAATAGTATACAATTGTTGATTTCTGTCAATCAAATACCTTGACCAATAAAGTAAATAAAATTTAATTGAAATGCAAATTTATTTTTCGATAATAACAATGATTACTATTACTTAATTTTAAATAAATAATAATTTGAATTTCATTCATTTAGCATGGGATTTTTAAACTATTAATCATCTTTTACTAAAATTGATTTTCTGAGAGTACAAATTTGTATATAATTTTCGTAATTGAATAATGTTCCTTTTAACGTGGTACATTTTAGTTTAATAATACTAATGATAATGTGTAAAGAATAAATTGTACCATTAACTAAATTAGAAAAAAAAAATAATTTACTTAAAAAGACGCAAGTATGGAATGAATGTTATTTAATTTTGCAAGAATTTAATTTCCATAAACTACTTAGAATAAAATAACGTACGTTTAGCAGAATACTTTTTCGAACAATTACTTTTTTCAATAAATTAGGCCAAATAATTGTGAAAATATTCGCGGTAGTTGTTAAAAAAAATTACTATCTTACTGATCTATAATTTATTCCACAGGCGGTTAATCTAAAGTATAAAGGGTAGAAGAGATAAATGAACTAAGTTTGTGGCCTCTAACAACTTCTAAGCATCGTGGTTAATCGTAGATAGAAACACATTACTTTCTTATTGACTTCATACAAGTCTAACAAGAGAATAACTGAAGCTTTTCAACTTAAAAATTATATGAGAACTCATTAAATGCTTTATAGACGTTTCTGTATTATGCCAAGTGGCTGAATGGCGAATTTAATGTACGAAAAATCCAACGACTGAAGTAAGAAGTTCAATAATTCAACTCTACGTGCAGCTTCGAAAGATATAGACTACCTAGAAAGATCGTACCAATGAACAACCCGATATCAGAAAACTTTGTCAGCTCGTATTCCCATGTTATATAGGAGTGAAACCCATGGACAGACGTGCAAGACATTACCTACTTACTGATATATAATTTAAGTATTTAGGTGCATCCTTCAAGTGTATTTTAAAAAGGAATTTATAGTTAATACTTGGATATCTCAATTGATGCATTATAGGAAACAAATTATATTTTTATACTTCGAAAACAATCAATTCGAGTAATTTGAGGTTTAGAGAAGTAAAAATTAAAATTTTTGTAATTTTAGTAAATATTTTTGCCAATCTAGACATGATCATCTATAAGTTTTAAAGAGTAACTCAATAGTTACGAAGGATCATATTTAAACCGACGATATTTGCAATTAAAATTTTATTAGTCGACTTCAATGTGTTAGGGAAATAATGGCGTTAGTTTTAATAATGTTTTAAATTTTACAATTTTATGTTTCAAGAGTTTTAATTCAATGAAGTAATTTTTTCAAGACTTGCCATCATCTGTTGCGAAGCTTACAAACCACACGAACTTATTGCTTAATTCAATAGCAAAACGAAGAAATAACGATGCTTATGGGGCTGTTACTCTACTTGACCCCATTAATTTTTGCAACATTCTTTTATTATTTTTTGTTTGCAATATTATTGAAAGTTCTACAGGACATTTAGAAAGTCGTTAGATATTTTCAATTCTTAAATTAAATTATTTACTAAATGTAAATAATCTCAATCATTTAAAATTAGCTTATAAATCATGGTGAAATTTTTGAAAATAAGGATTGAACTTGAAATAAACTATTTTACTCAATCTTAAAGGCGTTATCGATTGTTCTCAGTCAAAACATTATTCTTTCACTACATGAAAACTGTGGTACTTTCCACTGGCAGTTCTCCTTTAATACCCAATGATAAATCTGATCATACTATTTTCAGCATCGAAACGTTTAAATTATTTAATGGAGCCATTTTTCTTTTAACCCACTACCTGTTTTCTGCTCTACTCGATGTTACCATGTTTATACATATGTTTATTACAGTAAAGGTTATGAATATAAAAAGCCATTTTAACTATTTCAATAATTATTATAGCTTTGTCATATTTTAAATAATAAATAATATTGATAGATTTATTTTTACAAATAGCTATTCTTATTATGGAAGCTCATGTAAGAAAAAGGTTCTAAAAAAATCATCAAATAAATTTTTCGTTTATTTCAAAATCCAATAATAATATTATAAAGTCACTTGTATTCGTTATACAGATTTAATACAAATTCATCTAAACAATATTCATGGCAACTGCAGGTTTTATAACGTGTGTTATAAAATGGATATATAAGAAACTATTGAAAATTATAAATCAACCTTTGAATACAATAATTAAAAATTCTTATTTTAGAAAAGCATCACTTCGATTTATAGAAAGAATTTACTTCAACATATTTTTATCGATTGAAATAAATGTCTTTATCAGAATGAAAAATATTCGAGTTCGTGTAAATGAGCTTAATATAAATGTAATAATAATAATAATAATAATAATAAAATATATAAACATAATCTTTTTGAAACTCATAAATCGTTTTCTAACCTTATTAAAATTTCTGCAAAAATGATTAAAAAAGTAATTGCCCTTTTTCTTCACTAACAAGACTGAGTTTACACGATTTCATTTTCTATGATGACTAACGAAGTACGTCCTTTTGAAAAAAATGTATTTTTTGAAAGAAGTCTACTAAATGAAAAATGAATTTAACTTGAAATTAAATGATTGAAAAATTTATTAATAAATAAAAAATAAGAGAACGAATTTTAAAGTCTAAATGAAATGTGATTAAGTGATTATTAATATTTGAAAATTAATTGAATAAACAAACATTCGCTTATTCCTAGCATTAATTTTTTTTAAATTTATATTAGCATAAAATGTTAAAGACATATACTAGTTTAATTAACAAAGTATCTGTCAGATTTTTTGTATTATCCGTACAGTGTATTGTAACTATTTCTAAAGAAATTTTTTACATACAATCGAAATATTCGAGCAAAAGGGATCCATAAATTAGAATGAACCTCAGAGGATTTTTTAAAAAATTAGCTCAACATTTTAGGAAACAGAATGTTCTATTTTCAGCTGCATAGGTATATCTGAATGTTGTGGTTACATTACGGCGGTAAAAAAAATTTATTTGCTTTCAGTTGAGTATATATACTTTGGCCTTGCATATGTACTTGAAAGGAATGGTCGTTTAAATAGATGGGGTAGAAAAAAAAAATGTGGGACGAGCGCCCGTCAGGCGCCAGGATAACGTCGCTGGCGGCAGAGATTGTGACGTAAAACAACATGCATCCAAATTCTTGAATGATTCCAGATTGAAGAAAAAAGAAAAATATTCCGATGGGATGAAGCTGATTGAGTAATGCAAAATTTAGTGGACTACTGTAGTGATTTTAAATTGATTATGATTTATGATTCAATTTCTTTTTGATATCATTGAATTATACGTGTTTGGATTTGTTTAGTCAAGTTTATTCGAATTGCATTTTGTCGAGAATATTAATAAAAAGAACTTGTCAAATTTATGATCAAAAATAACTCATAATTTAACTGTTAGTTAACACATAAACATTTTGATGTCAATTTTCATATAGGAAATAAATATTTAAAAAACAATTTAATAAATATTCTTAAAGCTTAGAATATTGGAGGATGCTCTAGTAGGATGTCATTTCATTTGTCTTTTTCTAAGCTTTGAGAATATTCATAACGTTATTTATCAAATATTTATTATCTATATGAAAATCAACAATGAAATATTAATTTGTTAACAACGATTGAATTGTAAATTTTTTTTGAGCACAAATTTGGGTAGTTCTTTTTATTAATATTCTTTACAAAATGGAATTGGAAAAATTATCTCGAAAATTTAGTCAAGGTTTACAAGAATAAACTCGAATGGACGAAATAGCTAAGGGCTTGAAATAATACAAAGACTAGCTTAAAATTTTTAAAATTAACTGCGTCATTTTTCTCTTTTAGATGATTTATATACTCATTTTTTATACAAAAAATTGTTTTGTTCAACTTTCAGTAGATTGTGTAAGAAAATGCTACATATCTTCTAGCTAAGTATGAGTTTCAATTTATCAAAAGAAAATTTTGTAGAGAACATTACTTAAATCTTCCAACTTGTGGAAAGTTTAGTACAATAAAAGAATATTATAAACAAATATATGTGCTGTAAAAAAATTTTTGTATGAAAATTATTTTTAGATTGTAAATGAAAAGATAACCCGAGTAAAAATGATGAGTTTTTGGGCGCGCCTACAGGAGACCCAATTCAAGCCCAAATGATTTTTCAGGCTCTCAACGCGCCCAATTTAAGCCTGAAACTATTTTGCAGGTCTAAAACACGCCTAATTGAAGCCCAAAAATATTTTGCGAGCCTAAAACACGCCCAATTAAAGCCCATTTTCTAAGATCATATTCGACAATGATGACAATAAATTATTACAAATGTAAATTTGTAGCACCGAAAGTTAATTTGATA